TAATTCTTTCTATTTTTAGTAGAGACGGGGGTCTCGCTCTTGCTCAGGCTGGTTTTGAACTCCTGACCTTGAGCAATCCGCCCGCTTTGGCCTCCCAGAGTGCTAGGATTACAGGCGTGAGCCACCAAGCCCCGCCTGGGGATAGCAGAAATCCTGTTGGCATAGAATTTGGCTACTTGGTCTTCCTAAACATCCTAAGTTGAAACTGAAGCTGAACAGAAAATTTAGGCCAAGTATTTGTGTAAAATGCGAACTTTGCTTCAATGAGCCCATGGAATAAGGAATATGCCGGGAATGATTAAAGGGACACCTGATTTTAATGAGAAAGAAAACCCAGCATTCCCTGTGTAGTTCCAAAGGGAGAACTTTTCCAAATATCCATGATTTTATATTTCTCAAGTGGACCTGTTAAAAATTCAATATCTCAGAGTCTTTGATTCTGTGTCTAGGTCATGTGTCATTTATCTAAGATTTATGGTGATATAAAATCTCAGGTGTAACAATGGTTAGTCTGATTAGAAATTCAGCAGCATTATTGCCCAGTAAGGTCAAACATCAAATATTAATATTTAATTGCATTGAACTCCTCCACGTATTTAAAGGAAAGTTGGGAAGAATAAAATATTCATGCTTGAAAAATACTTTTTGAACATGTGCAAAATAGATCAACACTGAATACCACAGATGGCACTTCACTGTGAGGCTAATAAAGTAAATAACAGGACCATAAGAGATCGTCGATAATAAAGGGGAAATGAAAGAGCTCAGATCAAGGCAGCATCAGACAAGTGCAGAAGCACCACACGTGAACTCACCCCCATCTTACGGAGAAATACAGTAGGAAATAACCTGGGCCATTGATGGAAAACCACAAAGCCCCATCACTAATCAGACTTTCTTCTCCCCCCCCCTCATGATTTTACAGAGAGTCAGCTGAAGGATCAAATGCCCATAGTTTAAGTGACCCACTTAAACATCACTGAGGCTACTGGAAAGCATTATGTCAGAAAGTATGACGAACAGCGTAAACTTATTGCTGAGAAGTCTTAATCATCATTTTCATTGAACTGGGCTAAAAAAATGGCTCTTGGATATTTTGTTGCTGACATCCTATAATGTAGTGGCCTGAAACTTTTTTGATAAATGCATGAGAAATAACACGTTTGATAATACCCTTTGATAGGCAAATTGTATGCATGGTGCGTGTAGTGCAATCTTATTTGCATATTCTATGTGCAGTGCATGCCTATTTCCTAACTTATTTTATTGTCCAGTCTTCAAAATGGTGTCTGTGGCAAGCAACATTAACTTAGGACTCCACTATGGACTAAGAAGCTGACAGTTCAGGAAGATTTAATGTTTTCACAAACATCGCTCAATAATTGCTGTCCTATAGAAGTATATAAAACACATGTGAGGCCCGGGCGCTGTGGCTCACGCCTGTTAATCCTACTCTTGGGGACCGAGCGTGCGTTTGCTCAAGGTCAGGAGTTCAAAAACAGCCTGACGTCAAGGCGAGACCCGTCTACTACTAAAATAGAAGAAATTAATTGGCAACTGATGTGCAGTATATAAAAATTAGCCGGCATGGTGGCGCGATGCCTGTGGGGGCGCAACGTCCCAGCTACCGGGAGGCTGAGCAGGAGGATTGCTCGGCCCAGGGATTAGGTTGCTGTGAGCTAGGCTACGCCACGGCACTCACTCTAGCCTGGCAACAAAGCGAGATCGTCTCAAAAAAAAAAAAAAAAAAAAAAAAAAGAAAAAGAAAAGCACAGGTATGAAAACGCACCACCCCATTTCTAGGTCCTCCTCCTGGAGAAATTCAGTATTTTCAAGACAAAAAATTTCATCCTTGGAGGTGGGCGCACTAGACCAGACACAGAAGAAAATACATAATTACTGATGAAATTTGTTTACCCTGTTCATCTGACATGTCAAGTTGTCACTGGACAAGACAATGTACCACTCACCACAGCAATAAGAGATGTGTAGCAAGTACATGGTCTGGTCCTTGCTTTTTTGCCAATTGGATTTGTTTCCTTCTAGATTAGAACTTATGTGGAGGCTTTGCTTGGCTGGAGCATAGTCTGATTATGTCATGCACCAACCTGTGTAGACTAGTAAGCTTAAAGGCACCTCCATTTCACCTACTGTGCTCCCATGTCTATTATTTGGTGGGCAGGTACTCACATTGGGGATGTTTATCATATTTGCCATAACCACAACAATTTATGGTTAGGTGTTAAAACATTATCATATTCACTCTTTCACTTCCACTCAAAGCTCATGCCTTGGAGTTTAATGGTTTACATATACTCTGAATAATATGTCTCATCTTGGCTCTGCTATCCTGAACTCTTGGTTCCCACATCAAATCCATTACCTCATCCGCTGTGAAATCTAAGTTTACCTGTCATAGAATTTCGTCTGGACTATATGGGATAGTTAATGAGGTCATGTGGGACATGAATCCAGAATAGCTTCTTCCCTCTTCACGTAGATAGGGCAGCTTGTCAGTTCTAGCTCTAAATATCCTTCAATTAGGCCAAAAGACATATAGTCCAGTCTTAGGAAATTTAATCAGCCTGTATACTGTTCATCAGGGCAATTCCTTGTCTCTACAAATATCTTTTCATACTTTCTGCTGCTTCTGTCTTGGTCAAGTCACACAGAATCGTACATCTCACAGCTTTCTTCCCATCCAATCCAAATTATGATCCTTTGAATTCGCATTCTTACAGATTAGCTCTATGAGTGTTAAGATTCCCCCATAGGTAATTGTGAGCTAAAAAAAGATGAACATCAGGTCTAAAGCTGCCCTTTTGAAGCTGGAGTGGGAGTCAATATCTACATTAGAGAACCGTTTAGACACAGATTCTCAAGAGTTAACTCGAGCAGACATCTTTTGTCTGGCTCCGTGAATTTGACCCATGCTGGTGCTATCCAAATTTCCTTGGTTCTTGCTTGTTTTTAAAAGTTGACTCACAGATAATTTTAAACTCAAAATAATTTAATTGGCAAAAAAATTCCAAGTTAACATTTGGCCATGGAAGTGGTCAGATATAGCTGTCCTCTTAGGTTCCTTTTCCCAATCACAATATTCTGCTTTCAGTGAGAAATATGAGTCACCGAGGAAGGTCGACATACAGGCCTAGACCAAGAAGGAATGACCAAGAATTTTGTCAGCGGATTGGGGCTGTGGTTGTGAGTGCTTTCACATTTGATGTTTTCCGGTAGAAATTCATTTTTGTGGTAGTGTTCTTGAGCTAGTGTAGATAACACTGGTAACGGTCTTCCATGTTGATAAAAAGTGATAGTGGAATCTCCTGAAGGTACATTGATCCAGGAGGATTATGTTCTCTTAAGCTCCCCGGATTCTGCTCTTGGTTTCTTTCTCATACTTATCCATGACACACTGTACACATCCATCCCAAGATTGATGCAGATAGCTTCCAGACTCCTAGTGGGTAACTCTTCTTGGAGTAACCTCTCTGTGGGAAGAGTAACTTTATTAAGAATAAGTATCATCATTTCCCAAATCATGTTGGGAAAATGTCTTTAGACTTCGTTATGATCAGACATATCTATGTAGTCTGTGTATTTGTACTATTGACGTGTATTAATAATGGATCTTTTCATTTGCACGCACTTACACCCCTCTAGGCCCATCAGCCCAGAGATGAAGAGCCTCCGCAGGAGGAGCCACCAACTGGAATTCAGGGTGTTACTCCTGGTCAGAAGAGAGATGCAGGAGCACCTGAGATTCAAGGTGATGGGAAGGGAAAGTAAGAATGTCTATGGGAGGAAGAGAGCATATGTATACATCATGTATGATGACATACCCAGTAACAGGAGGAAAGAAAACGTTAGAAAAGTATCTGAAACATTTCCTAAATGTTGGCTGGAAAAGTGAAGAGTGTAGTTTGCAGCTTCATCCAGAACGTTGAAATATGAAATTTTATCTTTTTCTTCAAGATTTATTTTGTTCTGCTTGAAAATACAGTCCTTGCTAAAACCAAGGAAGCTGTTTAATTTTAGCTGTAAGATGTATATTATTTCACTACTTTAATTTGTTCTTAGAATGTTATTGTATGGTCTTCTCAGCCATTGGGTCAAAAGTGTCAGCAACCTTTGATAGCATGTAGAGGACCAAGTCAGCCTACCTGGGAACACCCTAAATAAAGTCCATTTGCGTAGGAATGTTAGCGCTATTTTATAAATAAGACAACTGAGGCTCGGAATTGAGGCTTACTAAAGAGCATTTGACTCATGGAAGCAGAATTCATGTTTCATTCCAAGGTTTGTGTTCTTTCTACCCTCTATGTTGTAAGAAAATTTGAATAGTTTTGCTTAAAATACTTAATGGTCCAATGGATCTGTACTGTAGGGTCGCTCATACTGGCTGAAGAAACAGCACAGTTCAATGCAGCAGGATAGAGACTTTAGAATAAAAGACCTGATGAATGACAGCCACTGTTTCCTGTGGTTGATATTCTTTACACTGACTTTGGTAAAAGCTGGATAATTTAGGATACTTGTATACAGATGGCTATATTAGTATGATTTATAAGTGACTTTGAAAGATATTTAAATACTTTATGGTTATAAAATTCAAAAGTATTCTAAGATTATCATGAAACAAATTATTTCTTCAGAAGATACCATTTTCAAGCTAAATATTTACATAATTGAGTCCATGGGTTATTTTAGCAATTAACTATTTTCAAGTTTCCGGAATATGACTGACAGCAATGCCCATGAACTTCTTTCCACTCAACATCCCTGCTCCCACTGTAAGACAGTAATTTGGCTTTTACTTTTGGTACTTTGTTCTAAATGGCATTCCTTTATAGAAAGTCACTTTTTGGGCCTTTGGGCCAAAACATAAGTTCAGTTAATTTGAACAAAATAATTTTTAGATTACCTCACCTAGGGATGGTTGTTATTACTATAAGATTTATCATAAGCACAACAAATAACTTAAGCAATCTTTCAGAAGATTATATTTTGGTTATAATGAAAATCTTATCCATGATGCGGACTCCAGATTTCTTGGATAGCTAATCTTTACTCCCCTTAATACACTGTGGTAACATCGGAAATGTAGGTGTAGTGTGGTTTATCCTTACATTGTCACTAAAAATAAGATTTCATAATACAGGAACACAAAGGACTAAAGGCCATCTTTACATCACATTACCACACTAGCCTACAGGCTTTTATTTCATAAGGCTCAGGGAATGAAAATTATCATTTACTTATTTATAGTTGATGTTTTGCTGCTTAAACTGATAAAATTTGTATCTTTAAGGGCCTGACCTGGAAGCTGATACCCAGGAACTGTCTCAGCCAGAGACTGGGGTTGAATGCCTGGGTCCTGATGTCAAAGAGGAGAGTCTACCAACTCTAAAGCCCACTGAAGTGCTCGAAGCAGGTATGTTATCCATTAAGATACAAAATTATCTTAATTTTGATAGGAGGGAGGGAAGGCAAGGGCAACGTATGTAACCTTAATGTTTGTACCCACATAATATGCTGAAATTAAAAAAAAAGATACAAAATTGTGGAGTTCCTTTTGTTCTACAACATTACATCTTTAATAAGATTACTGGTACTCTAATAACAGACTTCACATATGAAGATCTTTGGAAGATACTTCAGACCCCGGATGCCTGACTGCATGACTTAAATGCTATCAGATACAGAAACAAATTGGCTCAAGGCCATACTGAATCATCACATAAAAAAGTATTTTCTTACTTTTGAGTGTAACCAACACCTAACAATTTTCACAATCTTTTATAATTTCTGCTTTTAACAGATACATAATGCATTTGGAGTATCAATTTGTATGAAATATGCTAAGGCACTGAAGAAGATTCTTGTCCCAGCTCTAACATAATTTATGAGATTCTGGATGAATCCCTTAACTTCTAGAGCCACGTTTGCTCTTATTAAAGTTAGTGAATTCAGCGTGGAATGATGTCGTGTACCTGTAGTCCCAGCTACTTGGGAGGCTGAGGCAGGAGGATCACTTGTGGCCAGGAGTTAGAGGCTAGTAGGCTATGATCACACTTATGAATAGCCACTGAGCTCCAGCCTGGGCAACATAGTGAAACCTGATCTCTAGAAAAATAAGAAGAAATAAATTTTTAAAACCTAGTGAATTAAAATCAGATTCAATGCTGATTTTATTTCCGCTCTCTGGTTCTGTTGGTTAGAATACAAAGATATTCTGTTTTAAATTATATATTAGAAAATAACAGCTTGAGTCAAACTCTAATATCAGAATGAAGATTTCATTGCTCCTAAGAAAATGAGCAGGCACTCTGCTTAATTATTTCTTTTTTTGTACAGAGACCTAAATGCCTAAGCTTGGGTTTTTGTCAAATTCTGAATCCTCTGGCTCTTAAAGAAAAGTTGCGTGTTAAATCCTTCCCACAATGAAGCTTTCAAGGACTGAAGAATAAAATGGCAAGGGATAGTGTCGTTTCCAGTTTCTAGTTTCTGTGCCTTGTCAGGTAGGGACATTGCACGTAGATCAGCAATGTTCATGATGAGTAAGGTGCTTATGCCCAGCATGCTCTCTGCCCCACTATCGGTCTTCATGAGCTACTATTTCTAATTAAACCATAGACACATATATGATATAATCACCTCTAACCACAGCATATGTTACATATTACAAGTTTCTGCCTTGAGACATCAACTCATAGGATTGGAAATTCGAAGTTCTTGGTATAGTAATTCCCAAGTAGTCAACATAAGTATATTTGACACGTTTTCCAAATTACCTGAATGTTAATTACAAGAGCTTCTGAATTTAAAGGAAGCACTTGATGTTTAGGGAAGAAATTTCCTTGCATTAGTGTTCTAACTGTCCTTACTCTATGCTGCTGAACCGTTCCATTAGACCTGTAGTCCCCATCCCCCTGTCCACGGACCAGTACCAGTCCACCAGTTCTGTTAGAAACCAGGCCACACAGCAGGAGGTGAGTGGCTGGTGAGCAAGAGAAGCTTTATCTGTATTTAGATCCACTCCAAATCAGTCACATCACCGCCTGAGCTCCACCTCCTGCGAGATCAGCCGCAGCATTAGACTCTCATAGGAGCACAAACCCTACTGTAAACTACGCACGTGAGGGATCTAGGTTACAGACTCCTTATGAGAATCGAATGCCTGATGAGCTGAGGTGGAGCTCAGGCGGTGATGCTAGTGCTGGGGAGTGGCTTCAGATATGGATTATAGTTGGCAGAGACGTTTGACTGTACAGAGACCATAATAAACCAGTTGCTTGAAGACTCATATCAAAACTCTATCACTGTGTAGCAAGTGACAGTAAGCTGCACCTGGTGGCAGGCTTTATAGTGGCAAGGGAGTTGATGCACTTCAATTATACAGCTGCATCTGGTGACAGGCTTTAAGTTAGAATCGGACACTTATTTTAGTCCACGTGTGGCCTGCCCATTATTTTATTTACCACTTCTGTTTGTGCCTCTTTCCTGCTCTGTGCCCTTGTGTGAGTCACAGTTTGAGTAAGCCCACAAGCCAACCCTAGCATAAATGAGTTAAAAAATAAACGTCGCTGAACAGCTGCTTTGAAAGGGGAAATGACCCAATGATGAGACAGCAGAAGACGCTAAGACTGCCAAGAAAATGAAAGCTGCATTTAAATGAAAATATCAGGAGTCCTACTTCAATTAGGGTTCATTACAACAGGTAATTGATATTCTCCAAGCCCGCTCTGTGTAATATGTGGAAACCAGATGTCCAATGAAGCCATGAAACCTTAAAACTGCTTCACCACATGGAGACCAAGCATCCTGCATTAAAAGACAAGTCTTTGAAGTGTGTCAGAGGACAAAACGTGAACACGAAGAACAGAAGCAATTATTCGCAGCCAAGAACAGAAGCAATTATTCGCAGCCACCGCTTCACCAAATGTGTCGTCTGCACTGAGAGCATCATTCTCAGTGACTAACCACATTGCTAAAGCTAAGAAGCCCCTTAGTATTGGTGAACAGTTGATCCTGCCTGCTGCTAAGGACATTGGCCGTGAACTTTCAGGAGAGGCTGCAGTTCAAAGGTTGGCACGTATTCCTCTTTCAGCTAGCATCATAACTAGGTGATTTGACGAAATAGCAGAGGATATGGAGGCACAATTGTTAGAGAGGATTGATGAGTCAGCAGGGTACGCAATCCAGGTTGACGAGTCTACCGATGTTGACAACAAGGCAACAATGTTTGTTTTTGTGCAATATATTTTTCAAGAGGATGTGCGTGAGGACATGTTATGTGCACTTTTGTTGCCAACCAACATTGTAGCTGCAGAACTATTCAAGTCTTGGAATGATTACATATGAGGAAAGCTGAATTGGTCATTTTTGTCAGTGTGTACACAGACAGAGTGACTGCCACGACTGGATGGCTTTCTGGTTTCACTACCAGGGTCAAGGAGGTCACTTCTGAATGTGGGTCTATGCACTGTGTGATCCATAGAGAAATACTGGCTAGTCAAAAAATGTCACCTGAACTAAACAACGTTTTTCAGCGTGTGAATGCAGTTATCAGCCACACAATAAAGTACATACCTTATCTTACATGTGTTCATTCAGCTCTTTGAGGAGATGGATGCAGAGCACATGCATCTTATACACAGAAATGACATGGCTCTCTAAAGGGAGGTGGCTCTCTAAATGTAGATGACTGGCCAGAGTTTTTGAGTTATGATAGCCACTCCAGAAACTTGTCTTAGAAATATAGTCACCATTGGCAGCATGTTTCAGTGACACACACGGGTCAGAAAACTTGTTTACTCGTGTGACATATTCAACCTGCTCAACGAACTCTATCTGTCACTTCAGGGGAGAATGACAACCGTGTTCAAGTACACAGAAACAGTGGCTGCATTCAAAGCCAAACTGGAATGTGGGGGCAACAAATGAATATTGGGATTCTTGACATATTTCAAACATTAGCAGAGACTTTGAAAGACACCTAGCCAGGGCCTTCTTTCTCCCAGCTGGTGGATAATCACCTATCTCAACTTTAAAAAGAATTTGAACATTACTTCCCAAGCACAAAACACCCCCAAACTGGCAAGGACTGGACCCGGAACCCTCTCACTTGTGAATAAGCCAGGTGAATGGACTTTGTGCTTGAAGAGAATCAACTGCTTGAGATTGCAAATGACAGTGGCCTTAAAAGTATGTTTGAGATAACGTCATATCTCCATACATTTTGGGTGAAAGTCAAGGTAGAATATCCTGAGATTGCCACAAAAGAACTGAAAAGGCTGCTTCCATTTCCAACAGCCTATATTTGTGAAGTAGGGTTTTCTGCAGTGACAGCAACCAAAAGGAGAGTACAGAGTAGAGTGGACATAAGCAACACAATTCGGGTGTCACTGTATTCCATTACCACTATATGGGAGTGTGTAGTTGGAGGAGAACAAGCTCAAGCCTCCTACTGCTTCTGTATTATGGTGAGTTGTATAATTATTTCATTGTATATTACAAAGTAATAACAATAGAAAAAAGTGTACAATAATTGTAATGTGCTTGAATCATCCTGAAACCCTCTCCCCTTCCCCAACACATGCAAAATTTGTCTTCCATGAAACTGGTCCCTGCTGCCAAAAGGTTAGGGACTGCTGCATTAGACCACTTACAAAAAGGATCCTTTTCAGACAACTTCCTGGAGCCTATTATACATGACTAAAGCTTACTCTTAAGGAACATCATACCCTTAAAAGTGTATGTTATTAAAATAATAAACTGCATGAGCAGTAATTTGTTATTATAAAAATAATAATAAGAGCAACTTAATAAACCTAAGGGAAAAGAAAAGAGGCTTAATAATAGACAGGTATGAATCATTACTAAAAGGAAAAGTAATCCAACTAATAAAAAGAAAATGCTCTTTGTAAAATCCCTGAATATAGTATCCATTGGTATACATAACCTTGAAGAAAGTGGGAAAAGCCCATGAAGGAATATGAACAAGACACTAACAGATATTGAATATATTGTATAATTGGAAGTGAACTTGAACTCTAATATTTTCAAAATATAGATGAAATGGTTGATACACTAGGAAAGCACATGTTATGTACTATATCCCAGTAATACCTAAATATGTAAACATCACAAATACCATGGACGAACTTCTGAAATTTGTCAGTTTTCCTTCAAAGTCACTTCCTTTTAGAAACAAATATTTGGATTTTCCCAGTACTTTACCTTCCCATTTTCCTTCTCCATCATTTCTTTCTCTTTTGTATTTATTTATTTTTTATTTTTGCCATACTTTGAGATACAGTATGATATAAGGTATAAATCTCCTTGACATTTTGCTGTCAAAAATGATGGTGATAACTTAAACCTAGTGTGCCCATATAATTTAATATACAAACTAGAGCACTCTCAAGTGTAAAGAGAGGCATTCTTCATAATTACATCAGGACTAATGGTGAAAAGTAGGGAGAGGTGGTTACCCTAATTAAACAACCACATAAGGGTAAACTAGCTGAAAGAAACATTTTTGTACTTTTGTACAATGGAGAAAAAAGAAATGAAATACTGGCCTTTTTGTTAGTTCACTTATGCAGTTCCTAATGTGACATTAACTGGTTTATCTCTCTTTTATCCAGAGTATTATTTCAATCCAAAACATTAAATCATACCATTTTTGTAAATTCCTTTTGTTTCTTAGGGTTTTTGTGTGTTGATTAGATTTCTAGTAAAAGTATACACAATTTTTGCTTCCTACTTAAAACTACCTTTTACTTGGTTCATGTGATTTAATCTGTTCTGACCTCATACAGTCTTTTGGTTTCCTTGTGAAACATTGGTAATGGATATGCTTGGAAGTCTATTTGCAAAGTCTGTACAGAGGTCTTACTGAATGCAAGCCAGAGGATGACTCTTAGGCTTCTGGTTTTATGAATAGCCCATTTTATAAAACCAAAAGTATGATGTCCCTTGTATGCCTTTAATGTCATCTAAATAAAGTTCTGCTTAGTAATGTTCTCAGCTATTATTTTTATATTATAGGTGAAGGACAACCACCGGCTTAAACGAAGACAAACTGAAACAATGCAGACTGCTGTTATATTGGATATTTGACTTAAAATCATCTCAATAAAGTTTTAACAGTTTTCTTGAAAGAAGTCTTGCACATATTTTGTTCAATTTATTCCCAGGTATTTGGAACTGTTGAAAATTGTATCATCTTTGAAATTTGGTATTTTGCTTGATCTGGTATGTACATGTGTTATATTTTGAAGTATACTATTGGTCTATGACAGGGTTTCCTGGCATACAACTCCTAAAATACTTAGAATGGCCACAAAGTGATATCTTTTTGTATGCTAATGAAGTGACTAAGGCTGGCAGCCCCTACGTTGTTCTACTCTAGGATAAAAGATTAGAAAGTTGGGACTTTCAGTCCCCACCTCCAGTCTTCAGGGAGGGGAGAGGGCCTCCCCAAAAGTTAAGTTGATCACCAATGGCCAGTGGTTTAATGAAGCATGCCTACTTGATGAAACCTTCATAAAATCCTGAAAGGATAGGATTCAGAGCCCTTGTGGATATCTGAACACATGGAAGTTTCTGGTAGCTGGCCACCTGGAAAGGGCATGAAAGCTCTGACCCCTTCCTCCATACCTCACCCTATGCATCTATTCATCTGTATCTTTGTAACATCCTTTTTTGTAAACTGATAAACATGAATAGGTGTTTGCTGGAGTATTATGAGCCACTCTAGCAAATTAATCCAACCCAAGTGGGTCAGGGGACCACCAATTCAGAGCCCAGTGGGTAAGAAGCAGAGGTCAGACACCCTGGGGCTTGCAAGTAGCATCAAAAGTGGGGATTAATTTTGTGGACCTAAACTGTTAACCTGTGTAATCTGACACTGTCTTCAGTAGGTAGGTTGAGGATTGAATTGGAGGACACCCAGCCTAGTGTTCACCGCAGAATTGATTGCTTGCTAGCTATGTGGGGGAAATTACCCATAGATTTGGTCACAGAAATCTTCTTTGTTAATTTTTTGTGGGGTGAGAGGAGAGGAAAAACAGTTTTGTTTTTTCCACTCAACAGGTATGATGTTTGTATACTCATTGTTTTATTTCAAAATATTAAAGGGGTACAAATGTTTCAGGTTACATGTGTGAAATAAAATAAAATCCTAAACCTCCCCACCACCGGGTGACTGAATGGACCCTGTCTTGTATTCTGGTGTACGTATACTAGGTTATATCAATGCACTCATTAACTGATGGGCAATTGGGTTGATTGAACATCTTTGCAATTGTGATTTCTGTTGCAATAAACTGCAGGTGTCTTTGTGATAAAGTCTTTTTTCCCTTTTGGTGAATACCCAATAGTGGGATTGCTGGATCAAATGGTAGGTCTACCTTAGTTCCTTGAGGTTTCTCCATACTATGTTCATAGATGTTGTGCTAATTTGCAGTCCCCAACAGTGTATAAGTATTCCTTTCTCTCTGCGTCTACACCAGCATCTATTGGCCACCAGTATGTCCTAAAACTTAATTCCCTGCCTAGAGGAGGGAGGTCAGACATGCCTAGTCATGCCCCCTCTCTTCTTGGAGACCTCATTTGTAACCCACTAACAGGCCTAAGGGTATGAAAGACAAACCTGCAGGTCCTCAATTTACATAACAAATACTTGTCCCCTGGCTTGTCTCTGATTAAGAGCTCCTTATCTTAAAACATTCCAAACCTTTAGACCAGGGGTCCTCAAACTTTTTAAACACGGGGCCAGTTCACTGTCCCTCAGACCATTGGAGGGCTGGACTATAGTTTAAAAAAAATTATGAACAAATTCCTATGCACACTGCACATATCTTATTTTGAAGTAAAAAAACAAACAGACAAAAACACCCGCATGTGGCCTGTGGGCTGTAGTTTGAGGACACCTGCTTTAGACAAAGCTTAGTGTCTTTAAACAATTACAAGTTAAAGAATCTTTAAACATACTTATAACCTGTTAGCCCCCCAATAGAGATTGCCCACCTTTTAGAGCCAAACCAATGTATCCATTCCACGTATTGAATTCTAATTTTACCTGCAACCCCTGTCTCCCTGAAATGTATAAAACTTTAACACAGCCACAGCGAGTCCACTTGCTTAAGGCTTCTTGGATATGGCTCCGGGTCATGGTCCTCAAATTTGGCTCAGAATGCATCTCTTTAAAATTATTCTACAGTGTTTGGCTTTTTTTCCTTTGACACATCGATCACTTTTGTAATGCTCGAGTCCCAGCTAAAGGTGTGCCCATCACCCAAACAGTGTTCATAGTACCCATAAGGTAGGCTTTTCAACCTCCCCTCCTCCATCTACCCCCCGATTGATATACACTGAGTTTTGCTTCTCTCTGTCCACACGTGTGTTCATCATTTATTTCCAGTTTAATAGTGAGTATGTGTGGTGTTTGTCTTTCCATTCTTGAGAAATTTAGCGGAATGGTCTCCAGGTCCATACAGATTGTGTAAAAAGGTATTCATTCATCTTTTTATATGGATGCAAAGTACTCTATGGTATACTTGTACCACGTTATATTAATGCACTCGTGAATTGGTGGGCAATTAGGTTGATTGTACATCTTTGCAATTGTGAATTGTGCTGCAATAAACATTTGAGTGCAGGTGTCATTTTGATAAAGTCTTTTTTCCCCTTTGGGTGAATACCCAATAGTGGGATTGCTGGATCATATGGTAGGTCTACTTTTAGGTCTTTGAGGAATCTCCATACTGTGTTCCATAGAGGTTGTACTAATTTGCAGTCCCCAACAGTGTATAAGTGTTCCTTTCTCTGTGCGTCTACACCAGCATCTATTGTTTTTGGACTTTTTAATAAAAGCCATTCTAACAGGGGTAAGGTGATATGTCATTGTGGTTTGAATTTGCATTACCCTGATGAGTAGTAATGTTGAGCATTTTCTTATATGTTTGTTGGCCATTTTCCTTCTTTTGAGAAGTTTCTGTTCATATCTTTTGCCCACTTTTTAATAGGGTTGCTTGTTTTTATAATGCTCGTTTGCTTGAGTTCTTTGAAAAATCTGGTTATTTAGCCCTTCATCGGATATGGAACTTGCAAATATTTTCTTGCATTCTGTCGCTTGTCTGTTTGCCCTGTTGATTGTTTCCTTAGCTGTGCAGAAGCTTTTTAGTTTAATCAAACCCCATTTATTAACTTCTGTTGTTGCCATGATTGTCACTGGGGTCTTTTTCATAAAGCTTTTGCCTCTACCACTATCTACAAGCCCTGCAGGTCCCCAAGGGTAGAGGTGTGGGCCCCCAGTCTCTCAGGGAACTTCAGACTGCAGGATGTGCCTCCCTTCCTGGGAGGAAGGGGCTGTTCACCAAATTCTTTGCTGAAACTACTCTCCCATTTGTAGTAGGTGGGGAGAGATAAGAGTCTGAATAGAAAGAAGCCTGCTCTCTGTCCTCTCTGGTCACTCTCCTTGGAGGGGAACCCCGCACAGAGTGTCCAAGCTCTGGAATCAAGCAAGGTCTCCCCACAATTCCATGGTTGCCACAGTGCTTGGGTTTTTTGTGGGGTGGAAAAGCTTCCCAGTAACCTGGTAGCCTGCTGATGTCAGAAGAACTATGAATGGGAGAGAGGGATTCCCCCCTTACCCCTTCACTGGACTGCTAGCCTCCCCGGGTCTGGTCCTCACTGATACCTTGTTTTCCTTTATCTTTTTCCTTGTCACAGTAAACATGGTGAAATATTTAAAACTTTCCATTTCCTCTCAGGCATGAGACAAGGATGTCCACTATCACCAGTTCTATTCAACATTGTACGGAGTGGGTCTGTCCAATGTTGTAAAATAGAAAAAGGAAAAATTGTATAATATTCAAGATGTCAGAAACAAGCTTGTTTTCCTTTATCTTTTTCCTTGTCTACTTCCCATTTTCCTCCAAGAGGTCCCTGGCAGGCTCTGGCAGTTTTCTCACTGTAATTTCACCTGTGCTGCTTCCCCTCTCCCGTCTCCCCTGTCCTAAAAACTTTCTCCTCTCAGGGATGTTCCAACAAGTGGTGTCTCTAGTCAGCCATCTTGCCCCATCCGCTGTATGCTTATTTTCTATGCAGCAGTCCTGCTAAATAAGCTTACCAAATTTATCTCTAGATCCTTTTTGATTTTCAACATTCAATCATATCACCTTTGAATAATCTCAGCTTGTTTCTGACATCTTGAATATTATACAATTTTTCCTTTTTCCATTTTACAACATTGGACAGACCCACTCCATACAATGTTGAATAGAACTGGTGATAGTGGACATCCTTGTCTCATGCCTGAGAGGAAATGGAAGGTTTTAAACATTTCACCATGTTTACTGTGATTTTTGAAGATGTATTTTTATCAGAATAGGAAGTTCCATTCCATTTGCTAATTTGCTAAGAATATTTATCTTGAATATGTGACTTTCATCAAGCACTTGTAGAACATCCGTCAGATGATCACAGAAATTTTTGTCTTCCGTTCATCTGTTACTGTGGTGCATTACATCAGTAAATTGCTATGTTTCGACCAACCTTGCATTCCTAGGGGAAAAACTTTGGTCATGACATATCCTTTATGAATAAATCTATGTCTTAGTACTATGTTAAGGATTTATATATATATATCCCCATGGGTGCCATTAGCCTATACTTTTATTTCACATACAGATGCTCTTCAGTTTACCAAGGGATTACGTCCCATAAATCCGTCATAAATTGAAAATTTCTTAAGTTGAAGATCCCTTTTTATATACCTTATATCCTATTAATGGAAAAAAAGCCAAATTCTCTGTAAAATAATTTTAAAGACATTTGCTCTGAGCCAAATTTGAGGGCAATGACTTGTAGCCACGCTCAAGAAGCCTTGAGCAAGTGGACTCGGTGTGGGGGGCATAGATTCATCTGGCTTGAAAAGGTGGCCCATCTCAAAGCAGGGGCTTACAGGTTATAGGTGCGTTTAAAGATTCTTTTACTTGTAATTGGTTAAAGACATGAAGCTTTGTCTAAAGGCTTGGCATGTTTGAACATAAGAAGCTGTTTATTAGAGATAAGCTCCTGGGCATAGATTTGTTGTGTAAATTGAGGACCTGCAGGTTTGTCTTGCATACCCTTAGGCCTCTT